GGAATGGGCAAAAAATTAAATTCTGGACAGATTTATGGATAGGGGAGGAATGCTTGAAATCTAAGTATCCTTCTCTATTCAACTATTCCCTTAATAAGGGAGGTGTGATTGCTAATTTTTTCACAGAATCAGGTTGGCAAGTGGAGCTCAGAAGAAACCTGAACGACTGGGCGATAGAAGACTATTGTTTCTTACTTCAGCAGCTTGATTCAGTCTCAATTAATCATAGTAAGATGGATGCATTGATCTGGGCAGAGGAAAAGGATAAAAAGTTTTCAGTCAGAAGTTGTTACAATATGCTGATTAAGCAGTCAAGACACAGGGTTGATAATTGGCCATGGAAGATGATATGGAAGACAAAAGCTCCAGCCAAGGTGGCATGCTTTGGTTGAATAGCAACTTGGGAAGCATGTTTGACACAAGACAATTTGCAAAAGAGAGGATTTAATCTTAGCAATAGATGCTATTTGTGTGAAGGAGATCAAGAATCAGTGAATCATATTATGCTTCATTGTAGAATTGCTAGACAATGTTGGGATTTATTCTTGAACATATGTGGAATTTCTTGGGTGATGCCACCGACTGTTAGGAGCTTGTTGGAAGAGTGGCATAGTCAAAGAGTACCTAGAAGACTGAAGCAAATATGGAGAACCATCCCATTATGCATCTTCTGGACTTTATGGGCTGGAAAGGAACCAGGCTTGTTTTGAAGGACATAGGGAGCACATTTTTAGAATTAGAAACAAATGTATTCACAACTTGTTTTATGGTGTAAAAGCAGTGTATCAACAGAACATCAAAAGTTTTTAGAGTTTCTGGATTTACTTGGAAGCTTATAGGATATGACTGTTTTGGGGTGTTTTCTGTAACTTTTTGTACCATCTTGGTACCTTATGAATAAAACTTTTACCTTATCAAAAAAAAAAAAAAAAAAAAAAAAAAAAGTAGTGCAACTTTGCTTTAGAGAGGGGAATGAAACTGCGGATGCTCTAGCGAAGTATGGTGCTAAACTCAGTTTCCATGCTTTAGAATCAAACAAGTTAGGAAAAATTCAAATGTTTAAAATGTATAGTAGTGTAGCTGTCTTGTACATCCTAGTTTGTATATCAAAGTCTACACAGGAAGATGATTCTGCATTGCTAATTGTAACTAACCAGGCTACCGCCTAGGAACAACTCTTTTTTTGTAAGCTTTACAATTTCCTAATGTTGGGGATGCCCAACTTAAGTGTTTCTTGGAGAGCTTAGGCAATATGTCCCCCTTCTCTATGTCTTCACCTACTGGATTTTGATATGTAAAGGTTAGGGGTCATGCCTTAACCCGTACACCACAATGGTGGCTTTTGCTGAAAAAATAAAAAATAAAAATTGTATTCATGACATACCTCTATACTCTCGGTCAAACCATTAATCACCTGAAAGAGAACAAAACATTCATAGGAGAAGAAAATAACTAAGCTAGTAAAAAGTATGTAAATAACTAGAATTAAGCTAAAAACAAGGATTTAAATTATATACACTGACATTGTAAATAATTTTATTGAGTACAGCAAGCTATTACTCTATTTTATAGGTTACTATAAGGTTTGCTATGAAGATTTACCTATTGTTGTAAGTCAATTTAACCTATCATGCAAAACATTTATCACTGATAGTGTATAAAACTTAAACTCAAAAGGATTTCAGTGATATCCGCTGACAATGTAAATAACGTTTACACCACATGTCAATTTCTATACAGATGAACTTAAACTCAAAAAGGATTTAAGTTATAGCATAATCTAAGAATGCCACATGAATGTAAATAAGTTTACACGGAACTTAAACTCAAAAACAAATCCCGATATCTCCAAACTCCAGTGATGAATTTTAACTTACTTAATGAATAAGTCCAATTTCCAACTAGATATTCTAAATTTCTCAAATTCTGAAGCCTTTAGAAAATATGTTAAAAACGAATAGAATAAGAACAAAAGCTAACCTCAAAATATAACCGATGAAGTCTTTCAACTTCTGCTGGAGTGAAATTGGGGAAAGTTTCACCAAATTTCTTCAATTCATTCATAAAAAAAGAAGACAATAATTAAAGTAGTGGTTTTAGCGCATTTCTCAAATTAATGGTATATTCACGAGAGGAAGAAAAAAAAAGAGAAAAGTTTTTTTATTGTACCTTTCTAGAGCAAGAATTTAACAAGCTGCGTACTCCAACCACAAAAGATTTTTTCAACTTTGAGTAACTTGTGTTCTCCATTTTCAGCAATGACGGGAGACGGGAGACTGAAAATGAGGTGAGGTCAGAATTTTGATTTTTATAAAGTTTCGACTTTATATCCGTTTGGTATATTTGGTCAGAATTACTGGATTTGCAGGTTTGGACCAGTTTTTGACGCCCTTTCAAACGTAACTAATTAAGGAGATATTTCAAAGAAGTAGGAGGAGAGAGGACGGCCGGACAGAGTACGGGGGAGAAAGGCGTCGCCGGCGTCGTCCCGGCAGTGAGAGGGGAAGAAGAACAAGACGGGAAAGAAAGATGAAGGATGTGAGAGATCGGTTGTTCAGCCGGGCTGTCAGGTGTGTCGCAGATAGAGAGAAAAGTTTCGAAGAATCCCTTCAATTAAAGGGATGAATTGCACAAATAGCCTTTTTGGGGTCACTCTTTAATTTTTGTTTCTTTTTTAAAAATAAAATTCTGCAAATGCTTTCCATATTGAATTCAATTCTACAAAGAACTTTCCGCATAAAACTTCAGGCATGAGCAACTATTTCATGCACTAAAACGGAGAAGGGAATGATCTCTATCATAGCTGCAAAGATACAACATCACTTTTGCTAGTTCAAAATATTCAACGTTTTATACCAGAAATCAAATGATGTATATATAAATAATACACATGTTTAACCAAAAATTGAGTAATTCGATCAAAGTTTATTTTAAGAAGTATTCGGGCTACTGATAATCAAGAAATTCTATATTTACTTAGTGATAAGAAAGGAAATTAGAATATGAGATATCAAAAATAGCCAATAGTAAGCAAAAGAAAGTAATTGTATTCCAATAATAATCAGAACGTGTCTATACAGATGACATTTCTTTCTCTTATATAGTGACCTCTAAGGACAACGTCTTTTCCCCTTTTATGACTGAGTCATTATGAGCATTAATGACATTAATGGAACGTTATAATTGGTAATCGTAACTGTTTCGTGAAGATTCTGTAATGTTTGTAATCATCCATGCTCATTAATTGAAGATCAATGAATCTTTCCTTTTTACTGTCTCGATTCATTCCGCCGGTACCTCTTCATGTAATTGTTTAAACTTGAACGACCATATCTTCTCCTTGCTCGTATATGTTACGACTCGTGCCTCTTTTAATGCATTTCTCCAGCTGTCGCTTTCTCGATAATCCACTTGTCTTGTCTTACCAGCCATTCACATAAATCCATGTGTAATATTTATTTTTACCAATATAGATAGTCCCCCCACTTGCCGATTTGAATATTTGGGAAGTGGTATGTATTTATGGCGGGGATTTTTGCCGACGTTTTCCATGTATCCTTACGTCTTCTTCAGAAGCAACACGTTCCATTTAATGCATGTGTCACGTGGTCTTCGTTAATTGGATCTGCAACTCTTCAGCGATTTCTAGGGCTTTTTTACGGATGCATCAGTCATGAAGTGACTGTTTCATTATGACGTTCCCATCACGACCCCTTTTACATGACGGTTGCTTTTTCATATAAATACCTCCTTTGCCTTTGTTTTTACGAAAAACTTTCTTCAGTGTTCATAACTCACTCTTGTTCTTCAGTACATACTACTTCTTCATATAACTATGTCTTCTTCAAATCCTGATCCTCGAAAAGTTCTCATAGTAGACGAACTTCCCCTTTCTTCTGCTCCTACACGAAGTAGGAGAGGTGGTAGGTTGCGCAGTTTAGGGTCAATTTCTGTACGTGGTTCTTCTTCTCAACCCAGTTTTACTCATCCGTTGTCAACTAGGGTTTCTTCTTCACACAGATCTTCTGTTAGAAATAGGGATTCTAATGAACCACTTCGTGAACCCTCTGTTGATGAGATCATTCCTGCTGAACTTTCCTTCTTTACTGATAGAGAATCAATTAGGAATCAAGTTACTTCCATGACTTCTCATGATCGTGCTGATGTTTACCCTTCTAAGATTACTGAGTGTTCGATTTGCATTGTGCGTAGAGACTATCATTGGAAACTTGATTTCCCAATTCTGGTCCCCGATGAGAATCAAAGGATCACTTCCTTTAAAGCTGGTTTTCCTTTTGTGTATACATATTCCTTCACATTAGGTTTTAGGCCACATATTGATCCGGTTATTATCGAGTTTTGCCGTTTCTTTGATGTGTGTTTAGAACATATTGGTCCTATTGTATGGAGAGCTGTGGCATGCCTTAGATACTTGTCAAACTTGGCTGCTTTACCCTTCACCTTTTATCATCCGATTCATCTTTATTCCCCCAAGTTATTTCGTTCTGGGTGTTTGCTCTTGTGGCTAGGAGTAAGAGGGTTTTAGTAAGCCCTGAAGATGACAAGGATCGTGGCTGGTATACCCGATTTGTTGCTGCTCCTACAAGTGGGTTAGTAGGTGAAGAAAACATGCCCTTCCTTGAGAAGTGGAACTTTGCACGTAAGTTTCTCTTCCAATATTTTATTTCTCTTCTTTTTTTTGTGAAGAACTTGTACTCTCGTAACTGTTTTACTTCTCTTTTTCAACAACCATGGGAACTGTTGAGGAAATTTCTAATTTCCGTGGTTGGGTAAAAAAATTGTTAACAGTTGCTCCAACGGAAGAAAGGTCCTGGAAATACCTTTCAAACAGATTTGGATGGAAAGTTAAGACTCACGGTAATTTTCTCCTTCACTTTCTTCTCTATTTTCGTGCTTATCTTGGAACTTATTAACCCTTTTTCTTTATTAGGGTTTTCCATTCGGGGTGTGAGTGCTGCATCAATTACTGCTTCGAGGCTCTCTCTATCAAAGGCTCAAGAGATAATCTTGAGTTCCTCGTCAAAAAGAAAAGCTGATAGACCACAGAACTCCGAAGACGAATAGGAACGAGACGAAGGCTCGTTGGTTCGTAAGCCACGGGCTAAAAGACGGTTCATTTCAGATGACGAAGCTACTCCTCCTCCTAGATCTGTTCCCATGCTCGAGCATGAGAGTGCTACCTTAGTGAGTTCTGATGAAGAGACGCCTGCAGCACCCCGTGACCCTACTAAACAACTCTTTTCTCGTGGATTTGATGAAGAAAGTTTTGGCTTTATTTCTGAGGAAACGCCTCTTGCCTCTTTTCCTGTGTCTGCTCCAATTGAATCTCAGTTGCTTGTATCTACTGCTGCTGCTGCTGCTCCGCCCGTGGCTATTTTGACTTCCTTAACTACTCCTACTGCCACAACTTCCCATGCTGAAATTGGTTCTTCTAGTAGCAGTAGAGCGATGAAACAAGTTACCATCGAGATTCCTGCATATGGTAATCTTTTGAAGAAATCAGGCCAAGATGACGTATGGCTGAAACCACTTATCGTCCTAGTTGAGAAGTCTAAACTGGAAACTCACGGCTCTATAACGTGGATGAATGATATTGTGCATTCATCTTTAAAGGTATAAACCTTGTCTTTTTATCTTATGTGATTTTTCTTTCACTAGTATCACATTCCTCTTTTCATTGTGTAGATCAATCTCATCGATAAGGAGATGACGAAAAAGATTGTCCACATGGAGCAGTTGATGAATGATTATTACAATGAGGCAGACAATTGGAAAGAGCAATTCGAGGGTCTTCAACTTGAAATGGAGGTTTTAGAGGAAGAAAAGTGTACCTTAGAGCAACAAGTAAAAGTTATGGCAACGGAACTAGCGGTTGAGAAAGCCTCATCTAATCAGGCATGCAAAGATAAGAATCTTCTTGAGTCTTCATTTGTTGAACAACTTTCCTAGGCTTCTGAAGAAATTATGAGCTTAAAGGATTTGTTAAACCAAAAAGAAGCTTACTCTGGGGAGCTTGTTCAAATGCTTACACAAACTCAAGAAGATCTTCGTGTATCTTCAGACAAGGTTAAATTTCTAGAGAGATCTCTTGCCCCCTACAGGCTTCTTACCATGCTGCCTTGAATGAGAAGGATGAATTAAGAGTTGAGGTTGAGCAGTGGAAAAAAGACTATGAGGTCCTTGAAGATAAAGTCGTTGTTGAAGTTAGTTGGGCTTTCTTGAACACACGCCATGACACTTTAATGGAGGCAAGCCGGGAAGGCTTTGACTTAGTTTCTGAGATTGCAAAGATCAAAGAAATTATTGAGAAAACCCAACAAAGTCAGAGCTTTTCTTCATCCGTGGCTGACATTCCCGAGGGTGATGAAGTTACTCCTGGTGAAGCTGCTGTTCAATCTCCTTCCGCTCGGGTTTCTCCCCCTGCTTCTGATGATGTCATTCTTCATCCTACTGGTTCAGATTCTGCCCCTCAGTTAAAAAAAGCTTGAAGTTTTTTTCTTATTGGTGGAAAATTTGGAGGTCTAACCCTGGTCCTATTTGGGGGTAATGTTTTGGAAAATCTTGCCCCTAGTCCGTTTTGGTTTTTTTTGTATAAGTCAATCAGGTTGGAACTAAGTTCATACTTAGTTTTAACCAAGTTATTATAATATTAAAGTTTTTGTCTAACTTTTATAATACCTTTATTATGAGTTTCTATTCTACTCTCTTAGCGGTTTACCCTTGTCTTATATTTATAAGTTTGGGCTTTATTTTCCACCTATTTTAATGTTTGGGTTTTTGTTTTACCCTTTGTTATTTTAACTTTTGCATTTAAAAATGCTTCAATGCTTCGTGACTCTTTTGAATAAGCACGAATTATAAAAGAGGGCCCTTTTATATATAACACTTAATGAAGAAGACGTCTCAACTTAATAATGGTGTAAACATATGAAAGAAGAAATAGGAACACACACGTTTCTTTGAATAGCTTTGAGGAAAGTTTTGTATCATTCGAACTTTCAAATTACATAATACTTTACATGTATTTAAGTATCATCTATAACTCTTTAATAACCGTTTTCTTTACAACACATTTGTAAAAAATTCAAGGGTATATCTTGCAACCCGTGACTAAATATTGCCTTTAACCTAAACATAGATTTTGAAATTTACATCCACGAGTGTATTCTTCTCAGGTTTTTGAATCAGGTTTGCGTTTTGGGCTCGTGACTTTGCTATGATCTTTCGATTTGTTGGGTAGACTTTAGGACTGACTTGAATTTTGATTTTTCTAGTCTTCTTTACCTTCCTTATATATATATATATATATATATATATATATATATATATATATATATATATGTATAGTCCCCCAAGTGTTTGAGCTTTGAAGTATGAAATCTCGAGCACTTGATTATTCCTTCCATGTGGTCCATTTCCTGAAAAAGGAAAAATGTACGGGACTCAGAGGCATATATAATTTGGATGATGACTGTTTAACCCTTTATATTTCCATCAGAAAGGTTGTAACCCGAGACCGGGAATTATGTTACTTCCACGTGTCTTTCAGGTCTAATATCATCATTTGGTGCGGGCTAGCTTTTTGCCTATCATCTAAACTTGTTAGCATACTTTTAATTGTACAAAATAAAAATCGTAATTGAGCGATACCTGACCGTGGGTATTTCTTTTGCATAGAAATAGTATTTCTTCAAATGAATAACATTCCAATTTGATGGGAGTACTTTGCCGTCCATTGTTTCCAACTC